TCCGCCACCACTACGTGGGCCACCACCGCCGCCAGTACGTGGGCCACCACCTCCGCCAGGCGTTTGACGGTAATCGCGCGAACCAAAACCGCCTCCATAGCGTCCACCACCACCACCACCGCCGCCGCCTCCACGTCGTCTATTACCACCATGTGAGCGGTCTGAGGACGACATATCTTCAAGAAATACCGGATTTCCTGTTTTGTTTCGATGAGCAACTCCAGCAAATCTCCACATATATTGCGATTCTTTTCATTGAAAATGATGTAGCTACACCAAGATTACCCATACGGCCTGTACGACCGATACGTGTACGTATTCCTCGACATCAGAAGGTAAATCAAAGTTAATGACGTGCTTTACGTGGGAATATCCAGACCACGTGCTGCCACCGCGGTGGCAACTAAGATGGGACAGTCACCGGACGGAAACAGCGCAAAGTTCCTCACGTTCCTTTTGTGTGCGGTCTCCATGAATGCTTGTCACCGGGTGATTGCATTGGTAGAGGAATTCCTCCAGTGCGTCGGCCCCTTCTTCGTCTCCACGAAAATCAAAGTGAGACTATCCTTGGAATACTCGACTCCTTCGCGTATTGATGATAATAAATCAAGCAAATAAGAACGCTTATCTTGTATTATACCCATAATATTGTTTGGGTAATATTTTCAGAAGTGGAACCAACACGTCCGACAGCCAAAAATATATATTACTTAGAAAATCTGAAGCTAATCTTGAATTTGTTTTGGGAAGGTAGCGGAGAACATCAAGGTTTGCCTCTGACCGGTTGGTGGCATATTCGATTGCTCGACAATGCGACGTATTGAGGTTCGAAACCCATGTCCAACATACGATCGGCTTCATCCAATACCAAAATCGTATGTTGTCCAAACCCACTTTACCGCGTGTAATCATATCCTCCAGACGACCCGGCGTGGCCACAATCAGATGACAGCCGCGATCCAATTCGCGCATTTGCTCACTCGTATTATTGCCGCCATAAAGAACGGCGGGACGCATGCGTGAGCGATAAGCGAATTTCTTGGCCTCCTCGAAAATCTGTGTGGCGAGCTCGCGCGTCGGTGCCAGCACTAGGCCGAGCGGATACTGCTTGCGCGGACGTACTGGCGATTATTTTGCGTGCGGGGGGTTATGCCATGCTCATACATCTGATTAAGAATGGGCAGCAAAAAGCTGCTGTCTTGCCCGATCCGGTCTGTGCGCAGCCATTAAATCGCGCCCATTTATAATGATTGGGATCGCATTTTCTGCACCGGTGTCGGTTTATCATATCTAGCCAACATCACATTATTGCGTACGATCTCGGTCAGCTGCACGTCATCAAATGATGTGATGTTAGTCGGTACATTCTGGCCCGTCGCCTCCACGGGTATATCCTCGTATTTGTCAAAGTTAATACCGGTGTTACCGACACCGAAAAGCTTGCTCAACGCGTTCGTCACGTGGCCCCAATTTAGTGTAATCAACGTCCCGCGCCGATCTTCTTTCCAGCGCCCGCCATAGTTCCGTTCTCCTCCACTGCTGCTGCCGCCACGTTCATTATGTTGCTGCCCAACGTCCTCGGGACGACGTTGGTTCCTGCCAACGATCGTTGCGCGGTTGTTGTGCTGAGTTTGATCGTCCAAAACTTCACTATTTCGATTGCTGTTGCTACCCGCCGCCGCCTTGGCCGCGTCCTCCACGATAGCCACCGTTTTCACGTCGGTCAAATGTTCGCGTATTTTGTTGCCGCGTCCTCCGCGATTCCAATCGTCACCACCACGCTGTTGCCGTGACTCTCCGTCTCCTTTGAGAAGAAATAATACAGATAATGAAATTTACGACAACTTAATTATCTATAATTTTTAAATAAATGTTTAGACAAAATGAAAGATTTAAATGGCTAACTTACCGTCAACACCGCTATTGTTATCTTCGTATCTGTTACCACCACGACGTCCGCCGTAGCCACCACCAGAATTGTTATAACCACGACCACCACCGCCTCTACGATATTCTCCACCACCGCCGCCGCGCTGTTCTCTACCTTCGTACTTTGTCGATGGAGCTCCTTCCTCGCGATTATCACTATTAGCGTTGGTGCGCTGTTACCACCTTCGCGAAGATGAGGAGGTATATAAACGCCGGAATTGGATGAACTCTTCGTTGTTATGGGGCTGCTATTATTAGCTTTGCCGCCATTCAAGTCCAGACCAGCAACCTTTAAATAATATTTCCCAATTAATGTGACAATATTATAAATTACTAATTTAAACAAGTTAACGAGGAATACGTGCGGGCAGGGAGTAGGCGCTGTAATATTTCGACAAGAACTTACTAACTCTCTAACCATTTTTGCTTATTTTTCGTTATGACATTTCAAAAATGAAAAATTCTTAATTTTGACGTACAATAAAACAGACTTTTTGCTTTATTTTAAGTGAAATTTCTTTTATCATCGTCTATAGCCTGTCTGCCAATAAATTTATTTAATTGAGTTTCATTGTGATTAAAAATAAATTTTGATAATTAGTGAGTTACAAGTATTTATTAATATTCCTATTAATTACAGTATAAATGTTAACATTCAAAAATATACTCAAAATCACCTTACACGCGATAGACCTTGAACAAAAAAAAACACATGCATGTATATACATATCTACTTACAAACGACCCCGTGACGCGTATTTTATTAGGCCACGCGCTTGATATCAAACCTTTTGCGAAATAAAGAGATGTTCGCATGAAATAGAATTGAAAAATTAAAAAAAAAAGTCCACTGCAAGGAAAACTGAGATAAACAATAATTCAGCTTAATTGTTCAGATGTCGTCTACGAAGGCAAAACAATGTAAAACCACCACATAAAATTTAGTATATAACAACAATATATGAAATTACGCCACTCGTCAGAAACCCAAGAGATTTCTAATACTTTTCGCAGGGTATGGGCGGATAGAGGAGATCCTCCAGATCAAGAATATATATAGATATAGCCGCGGGAAACTTATAGTTTTCGAGATATTTACGTTTAAAGTTGAAAATTTCAACTATTTAAAGTACGTATTTTTGCGAGTTAAAATGAATTATACACTTATATTTTTCACTTTTATATCCACTAACACTTGACTAATTCGTTTTTAGAAATTTTTTTTATATTAGATGCTGCAAAAATAGCTTTATTTCAATATTTAAATCATTCTTTAATTTTATTAATTTTGACAATAACAAAATGGTTGTGAATGTCAAAACATCAGTGTTGCCATACTAATATATTTTGCAAACGAAGAAAAATAAAATTAACAGAGAGATTGTATCCTAGATACAGGAAACAACGCAAAAAGAATTTCTGCGCGTAAAAACTTTGGTACACTCCGGTGTTGGATCGACCAGAGTTATTTTTTCTTGAAGCCAACGCAGAAATAAGTCCTGCGCAAAAAAACCTTGATACACCCCGGTGTTGGATCGACCAGGGTTATTTTTTTGAAGCGCGGCCGAAGGCCGCCAACGCAAAAAGGAGTTCTGCGCAAAAAAAAACCTTGATACACCCCGGTGTTGGACCGACCAGGGTTATTTTTTTGAAGCGCGGCCGAAGGCCGCCAACGCAAAAAGAAATTCTACAAGAAAAAAGTAATATTGTCATAGAGGGTATAACATAATACTTAACATCAATGCTTTGTAATAGTTTATTTCTCTAGGTTTTGGATACCTGTATTTGGGGTATTATCTGTTTTAATTTCTTTCAGTTCAATTACAAAAGATGTCGATAAGGTAACACTGGTTATTTGAAATTTTGCAACCCTTTTGTTATTGTCAGAATTAATAGAATTTAACAATAATTTAATTATTGAATTAAACTATTTTTGCACTATATAATGTAAAATAAATGTGTACAAACGAATTAGTGAAGTGTTAGTGGATATAAAAGTGGAAAATATAAGTGTATAACTCATTCGAAATGGGAAAAATGCGTACTTTAAATAGTCGAAATTTTGAACTTTAAACCCAAATATCTCGAAAACTATAAGTTTCCCGCGGCTATATCTATATATATTCTTGATCTGGAGGATCTCCTCTATCCGCCCATACCCATTTTATCCCCGAAAGCGTGGGACGTTATACTAAAGTTTTCCCTAAATAATGACGTGGTAAATCGGTTTATTAATTTGCCATCGTGTCCATTATTATTATTTCTTATTGCCCAGAGTTGATATTAATTTGTCACTGTATTTGTGTGGAAGACGATTGCGAAAGTAATTAGAAATCTCTTTTGCGTTTCTTGACGGAGTGGCGTAATTTCATATATTGTTGTTATATACTAAAATTATGGTGGTTTTTACATTGTTTTGCGCTTCGTAGACCGACATCTGAACAATTAAGCTGAATTATTTGTTTATCTCAGTTTTCCTTGCAGTGGAGCTTTTTGTTTTTAATTTTTTCAATTCTATTTCATGCGAACATCTCTTTATTTCGCAAAAGGGTTTGATATCAAGCGCGTGGCCTAATAAAATACGCGTCACGGGGTCGTTTGTAAGTAGATATGTATATACATGCATGTGTTTTTTTTTTGTTCAAGGTCTATCGCGTGTAAGGTGATTTTGCAGTATATTTTTGAATGTTAACATTTATACTGTAATTAATAGGAATATTAATAAATACTTGTAACTCACTAATTATCAAAATTTATTTTTAATCACAATGAAACTCAATTAAATAAATTTATTGGCAGACAGGCTATAAGACGATGATAAAAAGAAATTTCACTTAAAAAATAAAGCAAAAAGTCTGTTTAGTCTTTATTGTACGTCAAAAATTAGAATTTTTCATTTTTGAAATGTCATAACGAAAAGCATAAGCAAAAATGGTTAGAGAGTTAGTAAGTTCTTGTCGAAATATTACAGCGCCTACTCCCTGCCCGCACGTATTCCTCGTTAACTTGTTTAAATTAGTATTTTATAATATTGTCACATTAATTGGGAAATATTATTTAACTATTTAAAGGTTGCTGGTCTGGACTTGAATGGCGGCAAAGCTAATAATAGCAGCCCCATAACAACGAAGAGTTCATCCAATTCCGGCGTTTATATACCTCCTCATCTTCGCGAAGGTGGTAACAGCGCACCTAACGCTAATAGTGATAATCGCGAGGAAGGAGCTCCATCGACAAAGTACGAAGGTAGAGAACAGCGCGGCGGCGGTGGTGGAGAATATCGTAGAGGCGGTGGTGGTCGTGGTTATAACAATTCTGGTGGTGGCTACGGCGGACGTCGTGGTGGTAACAGATACGAAGATAACAATAGCGGTGTTGACGGTAAGTTAGCCATTTAAATCTTTCATTTTGTCTAAACATTTATTTAAAAAAAAAAAAATTATAGATAATTAAGTTGTCGTAAATTTCATTATCTGTATTATTTCTTCTCAAAGGAGACGGAGAGTCACGGCAACAGCGTGGTGGTGACGATTGGAATCGCGGAGGACGCGGCCAACAAAATACGCGAACATTTGACCGACGTGAAAACGGTGGCTATCGTGGAGGACGCGGCCAAGGCGGCGGCGGTAGCAACAGCAATCGAAATAGTGAAGTTTTGGACGATCAAACTCAGCCACAACAACCGCGCAACGATCGTTGGCAGGAACCAGAACGTCGTCCCGAGGACGTTGGGCAGCAACATAATGAACGTGGCGGCAGCAGCAGTGGAGGAGAACGGAACTATGGCGGGCGCTGGAAAGAAGATCGGCGCGGCGACGTTGATTACACTAAATTGGGGCCACGTGACGAACGCGTTGAGCAAGAGCTTTTCGGTGTCGGTAACACCGGTATTAACTTTGACAAATACGAGGATATACCCGTGGAGGCGACGGGCCAGAATGTACCGACTAACATCACATCATTTGATGACGTGCAGCTGACCGAGATCGTACGCAATAATGTGATGTTGGCTAGATATGATAAACCGACACCGGTGCAGAAATATGCGATCCCAATCATTATAAATGGGCGCGATTTAATGGCCTGCGCACAGACCGGATCGGGCAAGACAGCAGCTTTTTTGCTGCCCATTCTTAATCAGATGTATGAGCATGGCATAACCCCGCCACCGCAAAATAATCGCCAGTACAGTCGCCGCAAGCAGTATCCGCTCGGCCTAGTGCTGGCACCGACGCGCGAGCTCGCCACACAGATTTTCGAGGAGGCCAAGAAATTCGCTTATCGCTCACGCATGCGTCCCGCCGTTCTTTATGGCGGCAATAATACGAGTGAGCAAATGCGCGAATTGGATCGCGGCTGTCATCTGATTGTGGCCACGCCGGGTCGTCTGGAGGATATGATTACACGCGGTAAAGTGGGTTTGGACAACATACGATTTTTGGTATTGGATGAAGCCGATCGTATGTTGGACATGGGTTTCGAACCTCAAATACGTCGCATTGTCGAGCAATCGAATATGCCACCAACCGGTCAGAGGCAAACCTTGATGTTCTCCGCTACCTTCCCCAAACAAATTCAAGAATTAGCTTCAGATTTTCTAAGTAATTATATATTTTTGGCTGTCGGACGTGTTGGTTCCACTTCTGAAAATATTACCCAAACAATATTATGGGTATATGAACAAGATAAGCGTTCTTATTTGCTTGATTTATTATCATCAATACGCGAAGGAGTCGAGTATTCCAAGGATAGTCTCACTTTGATTTTCGTGGAGACGAAGAAGGGGGCCGACGCACTGGAGGAATTCCTCTACCAATGCAATCACCCGGTGACAAGCATTCATGGAGACCGCACACAAAAGGAACGTGAGGAAGCTTTGCGCTGTTTCCGTTCCGGTGACTGTCCCATCTTAGTTGCCACCGCGGTGGCAGCACGTGGTCTGGATATTCCCCACGTAAAGCACGTCATTAACTTTGATTTACCTTCTGATGTCGAGGAATACGTACATCGTATCGGTCGTACAGGCCGTATGGGTAATCTTGGTGTAGCTACATCATTTTTCAATGAAAAGAATCGCAATATATGTGGAGATTTGCTGGAGTTGCTCATCGAAACAAAACAGGAAATCCCGGTATTTCTTGAAGATATGTCGTCCTCAGACCGCTCACATGGTGGTAATAGACGACGTGGAGGCGGCGGCGGTGGTGGTGGTGGTGGACGCTATGGAGGCGGTTTTGGTTCGCGCGATTACCGTCAAACGCCTGGCGGAGGTGGTGGCCCACGTACTGGCGGCGGTGGTGGCCCACGTAGTGGTGGCGGATCGTATCGCAGCAATGGTATGTTTCTACATAGTATTAGGCATATCGCAAAGTGACTATAGTTTTTCGGGTCATAAGTTTATGCTTCAATTGTATGACTTCATGCTGAATGTTGAACAAGCTTTTTTGTGAAACTAAATTTCTCTCTTACTTTTTCAGGTGGTAGCTCTGGCGGCGGCTACTATGGCAATAGCGGCGGTAGTGGCGGTGGTGGCGGCGGTGGCGGTGGCTCCTATGGTGGTAGCTATTCATCATCGCATGCTAACACAAACTCCGGTGGCCCCGATTGGTGGGGAAGCTAAATAAAACGAACTGATTGCGAATATCCGCTGAAAGCGAAAAAATATTAAAAGTATAATATGATTTTATGAAAAACAATGAAAATATGAAATTAGCAAGAACAGAAGTCGAGAATTGAGAGAGTGCAGAGCAAAAACGATTAACAATAATGCGTACAGAAGACAAAAAAAAAACGCAAAAAATACGAAGAAAAGCAGAATCAGAAGCGCAAAAAAAAGGAACTTTCTGAATATATTTAAATAAAATATATTAATTACTATTATTTATGTATAGATTATTAATTTTATAAAAGAGCAAACATTAAAGCATAGCATAAACACATTCACATTTGAATAAGAAACAGACATCCCTCCCCACACCCAAACAATGTACACACATATATCGAAAAGGATTTCACACACTTACTATACTTACGAACACCAAAATATAAGTGTATCCAAATACGATTTTTCATAATCATGACTAAAAACTTCCGCATAAGGACGTGCAAAAGCACTGGGAAAAACTAACGAATGCGACATTTGTGAAAAATGGACACTACAACAATTGAAAGAAATTATTTTAAATTGGAAATATAAATACATGAATGAAAAAAAGCGTAAGCATATGCAATATGATCAATTTAAAAAAAGAGCACGAATGACAAGGCACATTAAAATTTGAACTGGATGCATGAATGAATGAATGATTTGAGTAGAAGTGGATACGCAGTCCGTGGTCCGTGGTTGGAACCAAAAGCATTGGTAATGTATTGAAAAAGGTGTGGTTGAACAAGCTGTTAGATCGATCTTTAAATAATCGAATTCGCTCTGGGAAAATACGTAGTACATAATACTTTCGAAAGCACTCACTCGATTTTAATAATTACAAAAAAAAACTTAAAAAAGAAAAAGAACCCATTTAATAATTACAATTACATTTTTCAATTTCATTTTATTATTATTAAATAAAATAAATGTAACTGCATTAAAAAGCACGAATGTAATAAAATGTAAATCCATATGAAAAACAAAAAATATATAAAACGTGAAAAGCCCGTTTGCAAAATAAAACTAAAAACTATAAAAGAAGTACACAGCGGATACAAGAAAATATAGAAGAAATCATCAGCAACAGCAATTTCAAATAGTTAATTACTACGAACCTACAAAATACAATAAAAATATACATATATTAAACAAGTTTGCTAAATAAATGTACTTTTTAGCAAATGAAAACTAAAATATATTATTATTTATTGCGGGAAGAGAGTAAGTAAACAATTTCAATGGGCTTAGTCTCTTCTGCAAACTATCGGTTTTGTGAAATGGGGTCGGAACCCTAGAACACCTGCTAGTGGACTGCACAGCATTCAGCAGACGCAGAATTAAGGCCCTGGTATCCATGTTTCTAAACAGGGATCGCATCGCTTCACTCTCACCTAGCAGTATATTGGAGTTCATCTATATGTTGGGGCCAGAGTCGTTGACTTATGGGAGGGTACAATAGACCATAGGTCGTGGTGCAGACCTCTATCCATATCTATCTATCTATCTTAACAATTCCAAATACTAAAATTTCTACAAAAAATTTATATGAAGACATTGATTATCAGTTAAAATCATGAGAATTAACGAAATGGCGTCTTTCGAACAAATTCAGAAACATTTGCAAGTAATAAAATAAATCGGTTAGATGTCTGTCTGTATATACACTAACCAGTACTAAATTTTTGAGATATAATTTTCCCTCCAAGAAGCTGCTCATTTGTTGAAACCGCCGATATATAGCATATAGCTACCATACAAAATGAACGATAACTAGATAACCGTTACAAAAACAACGATCAAATCGTGTTCTTGCATGAAAAACTTTTTTTTTTGACAAGATATCTTCACGAAATGTGGAATAGATTATTGTCCAAGATATCGATACAGTTTCCGAAGAAATTGTTTTTATGGGACTACTATATCATTTAGCTGACCCATAAAAATTAAGTTCTTATATGGATTCTTTTGCATTTGTGAAGAGTATTAGGTATAATAGGTAGATTTTTTCTTGTTTTAATTAAATTATATGATTTTTAATATACTTATTTAAATAATTATTATTCATCTCTTTCACTTTGGTAAAGGATACAATTTTGTATTATAATTTAAGAAAGTTTGCGATATTATGATATTAAATGTAGTTGTAAATTTTATTACAATACTAAATATAATTATTATGAACAAATATAAATATAAACATAAATCACGAATATTTCATTTAACTTTTTCAGTTATCCTAAAGTTAAATACGTTGTCGTCCCATAGCTTACATACAAATTGTCGGGAATTTAAACATCAGATTTTTGATTAAGAGCTGCGTAGCCAACGGGTATTTCTTTCAATTCGGATTTAAGACACAAGAATTCGCCACCTATACACATTATCGTCGTTGTAATGGCATTCAATAGCCACCAACTAATATTTGAAGGAAAATTCGAATTATACCACCAACAAATAAGTAAATGTAAAATGTGGAATGTGCAACTGAAACGCAATTTTTCGTTAAATAAATCAAATAGAAAAGGAATAGTTTTATATACACTCACCTAAAATCTAAGCATAATTTCGCACGTCGTACAATAAACCAAAGCGCTAAGGAAGCAATAAATGAATTCAGTACAAACGCGAGAATTATGAGAAGTCCGCCTGCGTCTGATATATGTATTTCCTTGTTCGCGTTTTAATAAATAATTAACATTAGTATGCGTTTATTGCTTTATTACTTGACATACATACATGATACTCAAAAACATTATCCAATGTGTAATTATCACCGGCCAATATATTAGCAATAAACACCAATAATCCCAAAGTGAAATAGACGCAGGATTGCATTGAGATGATCTGTGCTATGAGCAACATAGGATCCCATTGTGTGTTTCGAAATGTACCCGATTTCATAGCGTGGCACTACTTATTTTCACCCTTTGTTTTTATAAATTCGATTTTTAGTCGTTATAATTATTTTATAGCTTCAAAGTAGGAAATTTACGAAAATTTTTGTAAATACAAAAATAAACAAAATTACAAATGACTAATGTCAAAAGTTTTGTGGGTGAGTGGTTAACACAATCATATGTTGTAATGTGTTGCCACTTTGTGTTAAAAAAAAAAATTAGTACCGGGTACCTAATTATTTGGTACTATCATAAATAAAAATTAAGATATCTTGTGAAATAAAAAAGTTGTTTATGCAAGTACTTAACTTTGATCGTTCAGTTTGTATGGTAGCTATAAGCTATAGTGGTCCGATAGCGCCGGTTCTGACAAATGAGTTCCGATCTTGGGGAGAAAAGTACGTGTGCAAAATTTCAGAGCGATATCTCAAAAACTGAGGGACTATTTCGCGTATATTCAGACAGGCGGACTTGACTAGGCTTTTATTCACGCTTCTACATTCATTTTAAAAGCGGATACTAAGTTTGATGTATCCAGGGGTTTTATTTCATATATATTTTCTTATTATTTACTCAATATCTAGTAAAATATCTTTCACCATTATTTTTCATAAATTAAAGATTTATCTGTGTGTTTCTTCAGATAATTGACCCAAATCACTCCAAACAATCAAAAAACATTTTTATTCAGTGTCCATCGTCAATGGTTATTGTTACTGTTGCAAGACATCTAACAAATCTTTTTGGTTTTTCTGACGGAATAATAGTTTCTAAACAATAAAATACTAGTTACAAACATGCAATTACGCACATATATATGTACGTGGTTTGTAACTTCTCAATAAAAACTCGTTTTTTTTAGATACTCTTCTGATTTGTGGGTCACATGAGTGAATCCAATTAGACTGACTGATTATCAGCTGATCACTTTTCATGTGCAATGGAAATAACTTTTTCAAAAAGATAGTAAAATTAGAGAATTTCTAGGCCATAAAAGAAAAACATGAATGAACTTTTATTGCTTAAATATTCACACTTTTTTCTTTAACTATTGCATAATAACAAGAACACAAGTTATATTAGTTACACTTTATAATAACAATGATAGCATACATTTTCTTCATACTTTTCGGCTTAATACTTTGAATATTTTAGCTTCAAATCATTCGGTGCATTTGCGCCCACTTTTGTATTTATATTTTAAGTAGTGACCTTCAGTGAATGGAAACGCTGATATCTGGAATTTTTTTAAGTAAAGGCGAAACAACACCACAAATATGAATTTAAATGGAACGTATACGAAATTTTGGGAATATGCTGCTTAGTTAGCTAGTTTGTTTGGTTAGTTCAATAATTAACTTTACAAGTACACGACGAATAAAAGAAATGCATGCAAGTTGGCATTTATCCCTTCACCCTGGCTAAAAGGCTAAAACCATTTAGTTCTGTACAAAGTTTTTGTGCAATTCGGGAGAAATGTTGTACACAAATTGTAGGACTTCCTCTATTACAGGTTCTTTGCGAGTGGAAATCGAACGGTCCATTTCGGATAATTTAGTGCGGGTGTCAGCATCGATTTTCGCGGCAACACCTTCACGCGAGCCCATGTGCTATAAAGAAGTTAGAAAGTGATTTGTTTTCATTTTAGTTGCAAATCTAATAAAATATTTATTTCTTTTTTTGAAATTTAATTTTTAATATATTAAAAATTTATTTGATTATAAGAAATATACCTTGGCTTCGAATTCTTTGAACTGACGTTCACGTTCTTGGCGATATTTCTCAATTTCTTCGGTGGCCTCATCCTTGGCTTGCTTCAATCTTCTTGCCTTGCCTGAAATATTAAAATAATTAATGCATCAGAAAAGCATATAAACGTTTCAAAGCAGTTAATAACTACTTTGCTGAATTTTTGCTTATCACATGACCCCTTTGATTGTTCGTTACGGGGTTGGGTGACTAGTTAACAAGTAGAAAAACACTTGTTTTTATTGCTGTTTTACTTACGTTTTCTAGCTTCTGCTACCTTTTCGGCGGCTTTCTTTTCTGCAGCGAGCAGCTGTTGGATACCTTGCGTTTGGCTAGTCATTTTCACTTTTAATATTTTAAGAAAACTTTAATAAAGTCACTTAACTACGCTGTAAATTTTTTCTAACTTCGTTCCACACAAGACAAGGAGAAAACACCAAGTGACGTTCGATGTGTGACAAGCGTAGTCACATGAAAAAAACCACCTATTGATTAAATGGATGGTAATTCGGATAATCGTTCGGCAAACGAGACTCGTTCGTGGATTCTGATTGGAATTTATAGCGCTGCCAGAAATGTGTGGCCATTAAAGAATGTGTTAAGAAAATTTTTGTAAAATTTGTTATATCTCTAATATTAAAAGCGTATTAAGACAATAAAAATTTGACTAATTTTTAGTCACATTTTGTATATAATTCATAATGTTTTAATTTAAGTTGTTACTAAATACTTATAGAATAATTATCCTTGTATTAATATAATTTTCAGTTTTAATATAACTATGACGTATATTTTAACTTGGTTCAAATGCTAAACTCTTTTATTATGATGGAGTAATAAATATTTGAGCAGAGAGTGTAAAATATACATTCTCTAATTTGAGTTACTTAGTTGAATGATTGAATAGTTTTTAAAACTTATTTGATAATAACTCGGCAGCATATGCAAAATATAAACAGACCTGGCATTCCTATCGGTTGTCATGTAGTTTGACATATTAGAAGATTTTTATCCTAATAAGGAAATCACCGAAAACAATTTTAAAAATATTCGAAAACAAGACGTGCCGTGTGTGAAAATTTGGAAACTTTTACACATTTTCAAAATGGATAAGGCTACAGGAAGGAGCAAGAAAGAGGCCAAAGATGAGAAACAAAAGGATCAAAAGATTGAAGAACAGGTAAGTCGACGAAAAATATCTTCAATTTTGATGTAGATATAAGTTATTTCTGGTGACATGCCGGTTAACGGGCCAAGGTGATTTGTACAGTAAATGCTTAACTTTTCCTTATATTTGGTGTTTTAATTCCAATAGATCATGAAAATGTTGGAGGAAGAAGCAGCTGGCACAACGCCGGACGAAAAATTTGCGATTCTACTTCGAAAGCACGTAGAAAGTGAAAGAGCGTCTAGAAAGTTGCGACAGGAGATGAAAGTGCAGGAAAAGCAGTTGGAGACGGTGTTGCGAGAAAAGGAAAATTTACAACGTGAATACAATAAAAGTGTATTGATGCGGTAAGACAGTAGTAAGAATATTAAATATATATGTTATTATTCATTTGTCCGTTTTCGGGACGTGTTAGTGACAAATTGCAGGAAGTTTGCCGCGAGCAGCAGAAGCTAATAAAGTCTGTGAAAAATGAGAGCATACAGAAAATTCGGGAAGAGGAAGAAAGACGCAAGGAAAGCCAATCGAAATTCCAAACATCGTTGAATGAGATCACACAATCTCTAACTAAAAACAATGAAGAGAATTTGAAATTGCGAGACCACAATTTGGAAATGACCAAAAAGTATAACAATAGCTAATGAAAATTAGAAAAAATATTTTGATATATACATATTACGTAGATTAAAAATGTTGGCAGAACAATATCATATGCGTGAACAACAGTTGGAGAAATTAAATGAACAAGTACAGTTGGAGTCACAATTACATCAGGCCAAATTGAACAAGGTGCAAGTTGAAGCAGCTATGGAAAAAGAAATCTTACTAAAGTGAGTATGCTAGTAAATGCCTAACATTTATATACTCATATATATACATATCTACAATGTTATAAAATTAGAGAAAAGCAAATTGCGTTGGAAAAGTTTGTGCATTCACAAAAATTGCTGAAAGAATTGACAGAACGTGAGGCGGCACTTAAGGAGCAGCTAACGTTGTACACAGCTAAATATGATGATTTCCAAAGTTCATTACAGAAATCCAATGATATATTCGCGACATACAAAGTTGAACTGGAACGGGTAATTCAAATATTAAATTTTAGCTATGTTGTTATTTTTAACCAATTTTCCCGATAGATGGCTAAGAACACACGTAAATTAGAAAAGGAAACACTTGAGTGGAAAAGTAAATGGGAAAAGAGTAATGCGATACTTATTGAATTGGCTACAGAGAAAAAAGAGCGTGATGAACATGCTGCGCGTTGCAGCAAACAGGTGGACCAGCTACAAAAATTATTGCGCGCATTACAAAATGAACGTTCACACCTGTATAAGGTGTTGCGTGATAATAACATTGAATGTCCCGCCATGCCGCAACTCCCACCAGAACCTGAGCCCATGCAAATACAGGCATCCGCAACGTCGAGTGGTGGTGCAGCAGACAAAGATAAAATGGAGATAATGTCGCGAAATTGTGCCGAATTAAAGCAAACCCTCGCCAATCTTCAAAGCCAAATGAAGTTTTTGAATGTCAATTCCGGTGTGAACTCAGACGCTAGTGCTAAAGCAGTGCAATCGGTTGTTAAACAGCAACATTCGGAGGATACGAGTAAGAAACGTCAACGCAAAAAACAAAAATCGAAAAACAATAAGAACGGCAAGGAATCCTCACCCGCTCCCGATACGGAGCTGCTAAATGGCACTACAAATGCAACCACAAATAATATTCAAACAGAAAACGATGTTAGCAATTTGCACTTGGGTGAAGCCGAATCCATTGACACATTAATTGCAATATCGACAGGAGTAGAGTCTAGTGCTGACATTACAGCTGTTGCAAATGAGCTAGCAACACCAGTGTCTCCTGAAGTTGCTGCAAAGGCAGCAGAATTGTCTGTTGCAGATATAACTGATGCTGCTGTGGCAACCGTCGCAGAATTGGTGAATGGTGCCGTCAGTGCGCCGACAATTGAGTCACCGCAACAGCAAGTGCGACAACAATTAGACGTACCAGTGCCAAATTAGTGCTGCCACTTTCATTACTTTTTATTATATTCATACATTGCGTCGTCTAAGTTGATGGCATACACCTAACCACATGATCTACCCTTCACATTTTTATCTTATTTGTCAAATTATTTGTGTATACGCACTTATGCGTTAAATTAACTTTTTCTGTTATTTTATCACAGCGCAAAATTTGAGAAATTTTTAAATAAAGTCCTGGCCTTGGTTTCATAATATCTGAAGAACATGCTTTTCCTATCTGTATCTTTTACAATATATAGCTTTAAATGTATGTATAATTCTTTTCGTTTTGTTCTTAATTTTATTTGTATATATACATATATTAAGTTATTTAACTGTTTTGTTTTAACAATAATTTTAAGTTATTTCACACAGTTCACCAAAAAATTTTATGGCTCAAAATTATTCGCGAGAAATATTGAAATAAAATCATAAAACCATGTAGTTATATATAGCAAAATCAGAATATCGTTTAGTGAGGATAGTAGTGAAACCTATTTCGCACTTACAGTAATATTTTGCTTTATAAATAGTAATCACTGTTGCCTTGTAAAACGGCGTCAAAAACTCGAAGTAACTCAACATTTTCATAAAGTACAGTCACTTTTTGTATTTTAGGTGTCTCGTTCCCTCCATCTCGAAGCAGCTTTGAGCAGAACTGGGCTCTATATTTTTCATTTAACATCTCTTTTTGCCTTTACCCTGTTCTGTATAAAATATTCGGTAGTATTAATATAACTTTTCGCTCTATTAATGAATAAAAGTCATTTAAAATATGATTTTCAATTGAAAAATCTCTATATTCAAAACGTAACCACGTGCTTTAATGCTCACTGGCTTGCTGATCTTGGCACACCGTGCGTATGAGTAACATTATGAATCATATGGTACATTCCATTGCATTTTAAATGTTACGTATACGACACAGCATGCTAGGGGCATTGCAGCTGAAATTAAGGCGCGTTTATTGTGAAACTGAGTGGGGAAATTGGCAAACTCGCTCTGGTAAAAGGGTTATATGTACATATGTATGTATATGTACTAGTATGGAAAGTGTAAGTAATTAAAGAAAATAATTTTCAAAGCGTCGAAACTGTGGCAGCTACTTAAAAGTTGTGAATTTAGGACACAACAATGTTAATAATAAAGTATATTAATAAAGCAAAGTTTTTTCAGGGATTTCTATATATGTTACAACCAGATTGTCGTAAGAATAATGCAACGCCAAGGGAACGATTCTCTCTGGCTTCAAATTTTCGATTGCATAAAATTCGTAAGCCATTCGGCATCTTAATACAATAAATAACCAATTTATTTAAAGATAAGACTCGACAAAATACATAGCAAAAATGCCATATCATTACATGTCGGCTTTCGAAACTGCCTAAATAATATAATGCTATGGTATATAATATCGTTCTCATTGTTTGAATTGTATGAAAACGAACCGTCTTGCTGAAAATAAGGCTTATTTGATTGGAAGACCTGCTTCTGTGCTTTAACGATCTCAATTGTTATTTGTAGAGTCGAATATTTGAATATTGCGGCTAGCAAACAGGCTGCTCACGAGCATTTTTCTTTAGTATTAGATTTGAAACTATTAAACTGAAGTTTTTTGCTCACATCTAACTGACTTCACATTCAATTCGCGTTACATCAATTATTCAGCAAAAAAAAACGCTTCTAACCAACTCGACCTGTTGAACAGAGTTAGCAAAACTCTACAAAGTATATGCTTTCTCTTTTGACATCTAGTAAACTTCAACTTCAGTTAAATGTGTTCGTGTGAAAGCGTGAAATAACGAAGGATTACAACAAATACACCGTAAATGTTATCATAAACAAATAAATACGCTACGCTCATAACTGGAAAATCGTGAGAATCCGCTTAAGTGAGGGTGGTTAAGCAGATACACAATCAGAGTTGCCAAGCAACAATTTTTATTTTCTAAATATAAGAATCATAAACCGTAAACTAGTTATATTACAAGGCAAAAAAAAAAAAACACAATTAAGGGTTAACCCTTGCTAATAATTTTAATTTAATATAAATATTTTTTTGCATTTGTTTATATGAGATATTCTTTAGCCATAAAAACACATCGATTGCAACTAGAGACCACTGTATGAATCTAATTAGTAAAACTTTATTTACATTTATGTTATGGTAGATGGTAATTGACAAAAAAAAGTATATACTGCCGATCAAGGCGATTTGTTCCTAACTGAATATTCAAATATTTTAAAATCTGCAATGCGGTTATATATATTGTGTAAATTTGTAAGCCGAATGGCAATAATGTCTATAATATCTTGGCGCAAACGAAACCAGCACTACTAACAGAGCCTGCAGGCGCTGTTACTGTTGAAGTGCGTGGTTACTCAGTTAGATAAATGATAACATTAACAGAGGACAACTAACTGACATTAAAAAGCTCTCGAGAGCATTTAAAACACCAAGTGGCGGCACTTATACGTCAAATGAACAAATAAATATTTGTATACATAAGCCGACAAGTTGACATGCATGGAAATGTCATGTAAATATAAAAACGTAGAAGAAAATTTACAAAAAAAAATATAAACTCTCGCACAAGGATTATTAGCCTTTCCAGCAGCATCAAAACTGGTCTGACGACTGAATTCAAATCTATTTCTAAATGCCCAAATTATGTTTATGATTAAATGTAATAAATTTTCATATAATATTTGTACTAAAAGTACATAGATTAAACAAGCACTGAAAAATCACCCCAAAAAATAGCATGTACGGAAAGTCAAAATTAGAAGCAAGCCTTTTGATGATAGCTGAGGACGTTCGGCATGTCCTGTCGTTTGAACTTCGGCAAAGTACAGGAAATGCTGCTCCCATAAGGCTGTGAAATGTGTGTGTAATTGAAATCGTCGATATGTGTACTCGTATTTGCACAGAAAAACTAAGTAGATATGACAGTTAGTGGCGCAGCGACGTCAATGTCAGCGTTAACAGGGCTCCACAACGATGGCAGCTGCAGTCAGCAGCAGTCGTCGGTAGTGGTAGCAGAGCGAAAAGCACCAACGAGTGGATTTTAGTATCAGTTGTGTGTTTGGATTGCTTGCGTACACGTAGGTCTGTCTCTTGGCAACTGCGGTTCGGTATCTATTTAATTTATTCACAAGTGTAAACTGCTGCGGCCTGAAAACGTGGGTGGCCATAAACAAACGGTGCGTGTGAATTTGTGCAAAAGATTATTTTTGTATATTTAATTTAACGCATTTAAAGAATGTTCTTTAGCAATTAAGGAGTTCTGAAATGCCTTGAAGTAGCAGCAGCAGTGGCGAATGAAGCAGCAAAGTTTAAAGATAGCAAGCGATTTTCAGCTGTTGTGTGTATGCGCCCACAGCCACAACTGCTCCCTCGCCACTTTGCTGCTGCTGCTGCTGTGGCGGGTGTTTCTGCTTTATCTGTTATCTGTTGGTTTTGCCAATGGTGTGCTTAGGGCCACACATCCTAAGCGGAAAGTCGAAGACGCCACTTCTATTACCAGCGCTAGCTTTACCTCTCTTTGGATTAACCTCTATTAGTTTGAGCTGCGATTGGTGTGCGTATTGTAGTTATATTTCTCACGCAGCGCCGTCAGCGATAGATTTCTGCAAATATTTGCAATAAAACAAATAAAATTTTGTAATTATCAAGGCAGCTGGACGCTTGGGTGAGTATGTGCATAGGTGTGTAGGAGTTGAAGGCAGGGCAATAAGCGAGGCAGCGAATAGGTGGGGGTTCCCCGAAGATAGCCGTAAAGCGGAGTTGAAAGAGTAGCGCGATGCTGTGAAATGTGTATGCGAACGTATTAATGCTGTTGAAATTGTAATGTTAGCAGACAGATCTTATAAGGATACGGAGAAGGAGAGAAAATGGCAAATATTGCAAACGACGAGTGTGAATTCTGTGTGTGCATGTGGTCGTGGCATAGAGAAGATATTTCTGCGGCGGCTGCTAGTGAAATAAATAAAATGACAATAGAATTTATGAAGAATTTGTGTCTACAAATGAAGTAAAGTGCCAAAAACGCCACTTTTATAAAGTGAAGGTGTTTTATTTAACTCCTACAGGCGGAGTTGTGGCAGTTTTTCGCAGCACAGGCCACATCACGTAAAAGTAGCAGGAAATAAAGAGCGAAAAGAGCAGGAAAAAAGAACAAAAAGTGTGTTGGCCATCAACAACAGCCAGTAGGGCTCCACAAGGTGTTAAGCAAAGTTCAAGTGCCAATTACAACAGCAACAAACACATGTTAAATAAATATTAACAATAACAACAGCAACTAAATAAGCAACGGATGCAGCTTATCACACCCAACGATGTAAATAAAAAAATAATAATAATCAAAGACATTAGCGATTGGTAAAAAAAAATTATAAAAATTATTAGAAAACCCAAAAGACTAATAATGTGTGAAGTAAATAATACAAATAATAAGAATATTAATAAATTCTGCCAAATATGAATGCTAAGATTAATGAGTTAAGAAAATATTAAAAAAATATAAAAATATCAGAAAATGTTAAAAAACAACACAAGTTAGCAAAAAGCGTGACTAAAGCGTTGCAGTAGAATAAAAACTGCAGTAGAATAAAAACTGTTAAATAAATAAAAAATATGTGTCTAAATTATTAAAGATTAATAAGTATATGAAAATAGTATATTTATTAAAAAAAAAAACATTTAACACCAAAAAAAAATATGCATATACAAGTATATATATTATTTTTATTTAAAAACAAAAATTTATGCAATTTTCATAGCTCACAAAAAAAAAGTCAACAAACAATTTCATTGCTCACAATATTCGTAAGTAAGCGCGAATTGCAAAAGTTTTGATCATTTATATTAAAAATCCTATATATATATTAAATAAATATAATTAACGCATTTAATGCAAAATACGCACGCACATGTACTTAGTGGTGAAAGTGCTTTCGAATATCTAAAATTGTTCGAAACACGCGAGCCATTAAGCAGTCCGTCAGTTGAAATGAGTACACCAACTTACCGAGCTGCATAAGCACTTAAAATGTAGAAATTGTGTGCAAACACATAAATGTTGTAAGCATACATTTAAGCCGCACTAAATAAACATATTTCAATGACTGAAGATTGGTGAGATTTAAATATAATTAAGAGAAACTTTTGCAAGGAAGTGAGAATATAAGCACTGTGCTGGCCTTCATTATTCTGCAATGGTGTCACATTTTTATATTGATGCAAAAAATATGATCCAACACACTTTAAGAGTAATTCATACAGCACAATGTAGTATAAAGCAGCTTATTAGCAAAATTTCAAAGAATTGAAAGATTTTGAAAGCCAATTTAAAACTAAAAAATTAAAAATAAAATTTTTAAATTGGACTAATTACTAATGTAATTTTTCGGAGGACTGCTCATGTCAGCACTGCTCCCAAAGGCTTGACTTTGGTAATTATACATAATTTATAGGGATTCTACAAATGTCATGCTACTTTAGTTAGTTGTTTCGGCCGATAGCTGATGTAATTTATTAAATATATGTACGTAATTTTTGTGTTGCCTTTCAAATTGTCAAAATTGAACAACCCATAGAACTCGTTATTTGAGGATTTTTAAAGGTTTAACATCAAAAATACAATACATATGTTTGTAACCTATTTATGCAGAAGTTATTAGCTTCAAATTAACATTGCGAATATTAACTTCTCAATGCAACAGTAGCCATAATAATCGCTCGGATCTTAATCATAAAGAGTTCTAAGCGAAAGCTGTCTTTAATGAAAGCACATTTGTTGAGTAGTATATGTAACTATGCATATACATATGTATGTATAACAAAGTTTTTTTCCACCCAAAAAACCTTTGTGATCTAGTATCAGTGTAGTAAATAGCTCTTACATATATCTCCTTAGCATCGCTTCTCTTTCTCCTCATTATCAAGAGTATCTTGAGGCTTTTCCATAAATGGAGAGTGTTACTTCAAGGTTTGTTACTGCATTTAGGGTCGTACTTATCCACACTCCATGAAGACATCGGCTTTTTATAAATCAATGGAATTACGTTACTATTTTCAACCTTTGCTTGCACTTAACCGGTTCTAGATTGGAGTACTGTGGTAAAACTTCTTAAAACTATAGTTGTGAACTATTTTTTAGCAGTTCTCATTATTTTTGCTCCTAACGGAGTGTTTATCTTTTTCCTTCCTTCCCTCTCATTTTAATTTTCTATGAAATCTTCCTCAAAGTGTTTATTATTAGTTAATTTTGCTCTCTGCATTATTAATATTAAAACCTGTGCTACGTAGTCTCACTTGTGATAGAGATATACAGGTCACCCCGCCTGGCCACTTACTCGTTAACCATATCCTTGCTGAGAATAAGTTTTTTACCGTTTCCTGCAGAAGTAACCTGTTTAAATACCATAAGCTAGTTTGGTTGATTGTTCTCTAACGATATAATTGCATTACTATTTATTAGATTGCTGTTGGAACTGTCCTTGTTCATTTAGTTCTAGCTCAAGTTGTCAAGAAATAGAAGTAGAATGACATGTAAGTGCGCCAGCTGGCTATTTTCTCTAAAATTGAATGAAAATAAACAAAACTTGTATGTTTGTATATATATACAAATGTGTATATATGCATAGTTGAAAGCAAGATATGAATTTTTCTATCTCATAATAAAAAAAAATAGAAACCTGTTAGTCGGAGGATTTTCAATTAAGAGCTCGTACTTGGGGAGGCTTTCTTAGAGTTGTCTATCAACCAATTTTTCAGAGTACGAAGCGAAAAAAATTGTTGGTTTTGACCCACCTTAATATTATATATACATACATATATTAGCCATATTCATATGAAACTGGTTGAAATTCATTATAAATGTGAAGTTCTTTTTATAAAGCACTTTATAAAATTTCATTTTGTTTTTGGTCAAAGAGCGATACTATTGCTTTTGCTCATAATTTAGCAATTTTGGAACAGACCTCGCTGCCACACATTTCATATTCAAAACAGTCGAGAAAATTGAATGGCATGAGCCGATTGATATGTCAACATCCTCTGCAACGTGGTCGCACCTCCATAATGCTCATCGTTGTCAACACCTTCTCGGCCTTCTGTAAAGCACTTGTACCACTTATAACCACTTTTTTGAGACAAAGTGGACTCACCGAATGCCATAGTCAACATTTCAAGTGCCTTGGAGCACTTTATGCCATTTTTAACGCAAAATTTAATACATATACTTGGATCCATTTCTTTCCAAAGTCAAAAATCGAAGGGCACACAAAAATGTGCCTAACCTTTTCTGTTGTCAAAAACAAACTACTAATCAAAATTGGCTCCTAATGTAAGCACATGATAAACATATGTGTCTGATTATAACAAAAAAAAAACATACTATAACATCAAAATTCACCCTTTCCTTTGAATACACCTCGTACATACATAGCAGTTACCTTAAACGCTCAATTAAAATTAAAATTAAATTAAAATGTAGGCAAAATTAATTCAATTTAATGACTGATATACTGAATTAATTTCTTCTTTCAAAATAAATTAAATTTAAAGGTAAACTTTTTAACCCACTTTTTACTTGTTATTGCCATAATCAAAATTTATTTGAAACCAAAAGAGTAATTTCGGTATTATATTTCTGTAATCTGAATGTGAGCTCCAAGCCTCGGAAGCGAATCCAACAAACAACTGCTATAAATCAAGTAGACTGGCATAATTAAATATCGTTATTTTAACAGAGTGATATGCACTTTTACGAAATGTTCATTTAATCTCTGACATGGGGCTGAACTGAACAAATTTTTTGTTGCTTTTCGATGCAGAGACGAAGCGCCTATTTTAATTTAAAGTAAGGTTCGAAAACAAGACGAGATATCGCAGCATGTGAGTTTGTCACAGTGCAGGAAGCAGTATTATCAATTGTATATTTTACTTCAATTAAGAACATGACCTAACAGTTATTTTAAGTTGCGAAATATTTAAAAGCAAAAACAGCTGGAAGTTCGAATGGCAGGCTTAACAGCAAAAAACAGCAAAAGAGAAATCAAATTAATGTGTGTTAAAAGCAAAAAAAGCATTGATGGCAAAAATGAATGAAACGAATGAAATGTATGGCTGTGTGTGTGTGCTTACATTTTTGTGACAGATGTATTTGGGAATTTGTGAGTTTTTCAGGCCTCACAAATAC